CCTATCTATCTATCTATCTATCTATTATTCTAATCATATTCTACTTACCTATCTATTATTCTGATCATATTCTATCTATCTATCTATTATTCTGATCATATTCTATCTATCTATCTGTTAATTTGATCGTATCCTATCTATCTATCTATCTATTATTCTGATCATATTCTATCTATCTGTTAATTTGATCGTATCCTATCTATCTATCTATCTATCTAATGTAATTCACTAAAATTGAGTCAATTTTCCTATAAAATATTAACCCAGTACTTAGTTTTGAAACTGTCCTTTATGTGGAATTTTGCATACTAACAAAATTCAGTGCTCACAAAAGGTAGCGATTAAAGTCGTTATTATATTAGGATCGTGCACTCTCTCTCTCGTTCTCTCGATATATATATATATATATATATATATATATATATATATATATATATATATATATTTTAAATAGAAAATACTCAGAGATGAAATCATTATTTAACATACAACAAAATCATTTATACTGAGTTTTTGACACTACTAACACCTAAATATATATGAAAGTCAAACCTCAGAAGCGACGGTCTGCTTCATGCTAAATGCACTCGCCTTCTGTTTTTGCTAAGATATATACAGATCAGTGATGGATTGTGGGTAGTCTATTGTATTGCATTGTGGGTAGTCTGTTGTATTATCCTACTGGTTATTTTCGTTGGTGTAACGTTTAAAAAGAAATGTCGCCTCTGGGTGTTGACATCAATATCCTCTTTTATATTAACATACGCTGTATCCCTGATATCGAACGCTTAAACGCATAAATATAAAATATTTTAAAACTATATATATATATATATATATATATATATATATATATATATATACACACACGCACACACACACACACACACATATATATATATATATTTAGGATATTACAACATAAACATGTAAGGTTCGCTACACAATTTCACTTGTGTTTCAATACATAATGCGTCTCCTAAGGTGATTGTAAATTACTAGCGAGTGAGAGATTAATTTGATTTTAAAAACAAAATAGTTTATCAATTTTTGAAAAAAATTATAAAATAATAAAATAAAGTCTTGAGGACTTTACCCTGATCAACAATTGAATATGACCTAGGTTAAATTTAAACTAAGCGACAAAGAAAATAAAAATAGAAGTTATTTTCTTACAAATGTGACATGGCAAAGATTTGACATTTAACAGCAGCCAGACATTAACTTAAAGGCTGGTACAAATGGCTACGATAAATGTACACATGCCAGTTAACTCTCATAAGAAATAAAAGCGGGTGAATAAAATGGACGGAACATGTGAGCAATAATGAAGCTTGTTGAAGACAAAAAGAGTAGAATTAGAAAGGATGCATAAAAAATTGAAGGTTTGGAAAATTTGACACCCACAGGACATACTGAACGCAAGAGGGTCAGGTGGAAAAATGAGTTACGTATATAACGGAGCTTGTGTAAACGGATAACAAAACAGGAATCAGGAGGGATTGTAATTAAAAAAATCATTGCTTAGAGCTCTAAAGGATAGGATGTTGTGGAGAGCCATATTCGCTCACATTCTGAAGGGACAGGGTACATAAAAAAATTATAGATAATTATGTTAATTAGAAAACAATTGTTTTCAATAAAGCATTTGCACGAATCTAATATTAACCTTTAACCGGTGTGAAAAGGTCGCACCAACGTGAACGTCAAACAGATGAAAAACACGAAATGAACTGCTAAGAATAGGTTTTATGCTTATTTTTATTTTAATCATATACAAAAAAACTCAAAAAGTGATATTTAACCCTTTAAGATAATAAAAATAAAGAAAAAAAAGGAAATAAACTAAGGCTCCGTAATTGAATCTTTTTAACAGTATGAAGAAGTCCTTGAAGAATTTCAGGCACAATGAGGTTGTGCATTCATTGCATCAATCGGTCACCATTTTCCTTCTATTTTTTTTCTCCGATGTAAATGCTGCATAGCATTGTCTTGTTCTTCCAGTTTTGTTTGTAGGCAAATATTGCGGGATATAAATGCTTGAGCAGAAAATCTATCGAGTTGATCTATTGCCCCTCATAGAAGCGCAAATAGTAACCTCTTGAATCCTAGAGATGGAAATTAGTCATTTAAAATGATATCCATATCGATAGGAAAAAAAATCAGATCCTCAATTGATGATGCCCGTCTTTTACGGATTAATCGTTATATAACGTTTTCATAAAAATGCATCCAAACCAAAAACTGAATTTTACTCTCATATCTGGACTGGCGCTACCTAGTCTTCAATTTCCAGATACATAGATATAGATAAAGTGTAAACGCATCTACGCAGCCTTGTGGTTGATTAATTATTTCCCACTCTACAGTAATTTCCCACTGTTGAAACGTAACAATACTTTCTCTACGCTGTCGCTATATTTAAAAATCATTTCACCCCAAGCAAGGTGATAAAGCCACTAACATGCGATGGGTTACTGGGCGCGGAAAAAATGAAAAGATTTAGAAGAAGGAACCGGGACCTCACGCTAAACAGGAAACAAGGGATAAACCTCTATTCTTGTTTAAAAGACGGACAAGGAGTGTGGACCGGGTGATAGGCGAACCTCCATGGAGAATATTCTGACAAGCTATAGTCGTTAGTTCCACAAGTTCATACTTCACAACTAATCCTCGTCATGCCAAATAAAATGGGACTATCATCTCCATTCCGTTCATATTACATCGTTATGAAAGAAGTTCTATTCGGATAGATCCTTTCCAAGAACAACTACAGATTCCTGAGTGATTATTCCCTGATCACTATAATTCTAGCCTCTTCAAGTCCGTAGGCAACAGATATCTTTCAAAACGCTTCCTCTTAAATACAACAACATCCACACTCTGATAGATCCTTCCCATGAACAAGTTTCCAAGGTGATTATTCCCTGATCACTATAATTCTAGCCTCTTCAAGTCCGTAGGCAACAGTTATCTTTCAAAACGCTTCCTCTTAAATACAACAACATCCACACTCTGATAGATTCTTCCCATGAACAAGTTTCCAAGGTGATTATTCCTGATCACTATAATTCTAGCCTCTTCAAGTCCGTAGGCAACAGTTATCTTTCAAAACGCTTCCTCTTAAATACAACAACATCCACACTCTGATAGATCCTTCCCATGAACAAGTTTCCAAGGTGATTATTCCCTGATCACTATAATTCTAGCCTCTTCAAGTCCGTAGGCAACAGTTATCTTTCAAAACGCTTCCTCTTAAATACAACAACATCCACACTCTGATAGATCCTTCCATGAACAAGTTTCCAAGGTGATTATTCCCTGATCACTATAATTCTAGCCTCTTCAAGTCCGTAGGCAACAGTTATCTTTCAAAACGCTTCCTCTTAAATACAACAACATCCACACTCTGATAGATCCTTCCCATGAACAAGTTTCCAAGGTGATTATTCCCGGATCACTATAATTCTAGCCTCTTCAAGTCCGTAGGCAACAGTTAATTTCTTACCGCCTCCTCTCACATTTATACAACTTCTACATTGAGTGTCGCTTGGATCCTGTACTGGGTGAACACCTAGTAAAATAAAATCTATTAAATAACATTCTTTTATAGAAATTGGCGGCAACCTCATTTCGTAAATCATTGCTCGTGAGATTCATTTTTACCAAAGGTTTTGCTCTTTTGTAATGTGTCAGACTATAGCAACTTAAGTAAATATATGTCCTTTCAATTTGTTTTCTTGTTAATACAATGTTTATTTCCGCTTTTTTCCGCATTATTCTTTTTGTTTTACATGACTTCATCATGATTCCTGTATCTACAACAGTCAAAAAAACAAAGTACCTCTATTCAGTGTAAAATAAGAAGTTATCGTATTGTTGGTGGCATTATTTCACAGATCGTATTTTTTTTATCTCATTCTCTGCATCTAACGTGAATCTTCACTTAGCTGATGACCTTTCAATATCAATATTACAATTTAACGAATACAAAGGTTGTCTGCAGAAAGATTTGGAGCACAAGCGGCGCTTGTTGATGTTGCTGCTTCTATAAGTCGCCTTTTTACTACCAGTGTTAACCGCTATTTTATTCAGCAAGTGACGGTTGTCATGTTTTTTTTTAAATGAAGGGAGAAACTATACTTGAGATCTGCTTTTCTGCATTGATTAGATGTATTATAAACGAACAATAAGAGAACACAGTTCGGCTGAGTTGCATCAACTTCCAGTAGTTCTGTGAAAAAATGAATTAATGGAGTTTATTTGCTAATATGTCACATTTATACAGAAAGTTTTATTGCAAAAAAGAAAGTGAAACACTGGCCGACAGATATACTTTTACTTTCATTATTATGTTTTTGGCCAGACAGGAAATAATTTTTCGTGTTTAATAAAGAAAAAAATGTAGTGGTTCATAATTAATATTACCATACTTAAGATTAATGAAAATTATTATGAACTAGCAAAAATGTCGTCCTATTGGGTGGCAATTAACCTAGCTCCTGCGGATAGCTCTAGACTGGGCCTCCGGCTTGTTCAGGTGTTTGAGAGTCCCCAAGCAGTGGAAGATCTTCTAGCTGCCGTTTGAGTGGGATTCTTATTTGCACGGGACTTTCTTTTATTTGCTGCAGCCTTGGCTGTTTTAATTGCAATCTGGTCCTCTTTTGGCGGTGACAAATTTTAGGTACTGAAAATCATTTTGTAAAATATTTGTGAATATTTGTATTTAAAAAAAAAAAAAAATATGGGGATTAAGGAATCTGTCTTATTTATCATGTAAGTTCGAAGACTATCACTATTGTCTTTTGAAGCCATGGTGACTGATTTTTAAAAAGTTTTTAAATGCAAAGCTTCCAGACACAACAGAGACAATATTCTAACCTTCAAAACAAATTAAGAAAAATTCCAGACAACATTCAAATCTAGAATCATTACTTATATCCTCTAGATTACCAAAGTCCACCAGCTCATTAATATTCACAAGCTCTAAAAATCTACACATGCACAAATCTACCTCTCTTTCCCGCAAAAGCTCCAAATTCATTTTTATTTCGTTTAGAAAGGACAAAGTTGTGTCTGAAGATTGTGATTTTTGACATTTCTCTCGCCATGCTTCTGTTTTGTCTGATAGCATTATAATATACAATAATAATAATAATAATAGTAAACCATATGTAGAAGAATTCTTACATGACAAAGTTATTTGATGGAGGTGGGAAACAGGTTGGTTAGATACAATACTACACAGCCAAAGCTGGTAACGTTTCATCACCACTGATCACTCCCTGAATTTCAGTCTCTCACAATGAAAAGGTCTTTTCTCTCAAGGTCGCCCTTTGCCTTGAATGTTATTGGGACATACGCTCACTCCAGACCTCAAGTGGAACTTTATATACAATCCATCGCGAAAAATGCTGGAAAAATTGTCGGTTCCTTGTACAGCTCCAGTACGTACTTGACTCCACCTGGTATGTTATACCTTTACAAGAGCCAGATCAGTACTAAATGGATTTCTGCTGTCATATTTGGACTGGAACTGTCAATAATCGTCTCCGAGTTATTTTACAGCTTAAGACTACAGTCTTACAAACGAAACGTCGCTAGCCTCTCGCTACTTTCTTGGAAATTGTTCAAACCAGCTACATTCATTAGTGCCCCCAACTCTAACACTTCCAGCTAAGACCTGCCACGCCCCGCATATTGAGGCAAAACACTCTCATTACTTTTGTATTCCATTAGTAAGGAGTAAGTTCTATCGAATAGCTTCTTCTCAAGAACTGCTACTTTGTGGAATAGTATCACCGCTCACACAAATATATATATATATATATATATATATATATATATATATATATATATATATATTTATATATATCTGTGGCATTTATTTGCGTCGACTAAGTGTATCAATAGTTCTGAAACGTGTGGATGGTTCTGCACGAGCCTTCACCACTTTAATCAAATCACTTGTGTGGGTTATCTGACGGCTTACCTTAGAGCAAGATCTAAAAGATCAGCCAATCTAACAGTGATCTCATCTCACAATCCTCACACTTGCTCCATATGTGTGTGTGTGTGTGTGTGTGTGTGTGTGTGTGTGTGTACGCATAATTGTATAATGTAGTTACATGCATACTACAGAGGCTTACACAAGCGTTCAGGTATATACCAGTATCTATCTATATATCTATATGTGCATCTTAGCAGGATGTAGAATATAAAAAGAGGATTAAGACAATGTGGAAGAGATAATTAAAGACGCATTTCGCCTTCGTGTGCTCGATTGGCATCCAACAAGGCACACTAAAGCGAAATGCGTTGTCATTAAAAAAATAAGTATTTGCCATCATGTCTATATGCACGATATTAACCATTCATACGGATATAAATATTTACTTACATACTCACACCAAACGCATGCTGGAATGCTTGGAATTTTAACAAGATAAAATCTATCTATCTATCTTTCTATCTATCTATCTATCTATCTATCTATCTTCATCTCTCAATGAAGTTGATAAAAATGTTCGTAAATAATTATATTGATATTTTTCTCTGAACTAAAAAATTGAAGCTGCAGCATTAATACATACAACAGATATATCTTTTCCAAAGTGGATTTGTTTTAAACAAAAAAAAAGTAGCTGGGCATGCGCATTTGAAATATCTGAGGCATATGCGCAGTAAGAAATTATTTTAATGAGAAGAAACATTGGTTGCATAAGGATGTCACCATGAAAGTATTGAACAAGAACAACAGTCAATCTATCGAATAGCAAATGTGGGGATATCTTTTTCTACATCTCTAAGATTATATCTTTGTTATCCTCTCTTTCTCCTCACTTGTTTATTTCTTTTCATTCATCTCGTTCTTGTAAGTTGGTAATTGAGTAGATATTAATCTATGTATAGATCCGTTCGGTGGCTGTGACGTTACCGACTCTAATTTGGGAACAGGGAGTCAGCGTTTTAGCAAATTTGAAGTTTCCCAATAGGAATTATCAAGATCAGTACACAGACTCCATTTGACATTTTCACAATATTGTTCACACACACACACACACACACACACACACACACACACATATATATATATATATATATATATATATTATTATTATTTTTTATTATATTATTATATTTTTTATATATATTATCATTATTTTTTATTTTAAAAATATGGCTCCATCGCTACACAGTAATTACCATGTTTCAAAACATAAACTAAAATTTTAAATTTAATTATAAATACATTATACATTATTTATGTAAAATATTTGACAATGTCTGCAAAAATAGCTATTTCATTTCTTTGATTACGTAAATGTTTATTTTTCGGTAACTTATTAATATATAATTTTTCATGTTTTTTTACCGTTGGTGTTTTATTGTTTTTTTAAGTACCAAAAATATTTAGATAGAGATGTTTGATTTCTATATTTACTATTTTTAAAAGACGTGATGTTGGTTCCAACTTCTTATGAAATCATGTTTTGTGCATCCGATGTAGATTTTAACTATGTCTAGATCTTCAGTAGATGAAATATCGCATTGATAAACCAATGATTCCACGCAACATTTATTATTGAGAGGACAATTTTAAGGATTTCTACAGTTTTTAATTTTTATTTATATGTAAGAGCAACGATATCATTAGTTTATCAAGGCATTTAAATTTGAAAATGTTCATGCATATTCATCAAGTGATTAAAGGTCAGCAAAACATGTGGAGGACACAAAGGGCCATAATTCAAAGAATCCGGTAAGACAAACGTAAGCGAGTAATATTCAAGATTTTTAAATTTTTTCTTTAATATAATATCTATTTTCTTTAATATAATATCTATTTTCCTTGAATATAGGTGAAAATTGTAAACAGTTTGTTATGGTCTGGAAAAGATGTGTGTGGTGCACTTCAAAAATACAAGTTAATTTAACTTTTTATTTTTTAATATTTTTGTGGTAGTGTATATTGGCTTTGGATCGTAATAATTCTTTCAGGAAAGGTGAGAGTGGAAAGAAACCGGATGTAGATTTATATATTGATAAAATTCAATCGCGACACTCTCGAGAACTTTCTTCCTGAGTAAATTACTTTCTTTTTTGGTAAGTATGAAATTTTTCATGTCAAAATTGTGGTTGAGTTTATTTCTGTGCATGACTAGTGCATTTGTTAAATTGTTATGTATAACGTCCCTTTTGCGTTTTGAAAAATTTCTGCATGTTTTTTTTTTTTTAAAGAAAGCTAAGAATAGTTTTTCTTGTATTTTTATTCATTTTGTTCTTTTATAGATACACTATATCTGAAAATAATTATATATATATATATATATATATATATATATATATATATATATATATATATATATCGTCATTTTAAATGTTTTCATTTTGAAGAAAGAAACATGTGTAGAGAAGGTTTAAAGACAAGCTGAAGATTGACTTGCGGCTATCAACATCCAATATAAAACATTTGAGCAGTGACCCCTGACTGTAAGGATTGGAGAGCAATGTGTTTCAGTGGCATCACTGATTTTGAAACTGACTGGTTTTAACGAGTGAGGGATGCAAGAGCGAGGACAAAGGCGTCATCAACATCGTTACCCTCACCTTTATCTCTTGCATAAATTCTGTCCTTGTCTGTAAATCAATGACAAGACTCAAATGTCACGAAAGACATAAATGCTTGAACTGATTTAGTTGTTGTACAGTCAGACGGCAAAATCGACGGGACGATCTATCTATCTATCTATGATAAGATAAAGACCAAATAGGAAACGTTCATCAATCTATTTGTTCTTTATCTTACCATCCTGTCGGATTCGGATCCATATTTGATCTATATTTGATCCGAACTCTATCTATCTATCTATCTATCTATCTATCTATCTATCTATCTGCACTTTGCGACCCAAAAGCCTTTGTAATTTGAATAGCATGTTTATTCGGTCATGTTATCGAACGTTTTCCATGTCTCGACGGATATTTTACGCATCTCTTGTAATTACTCCAAGAGTAAATTAAGAAATTCATTTCCTATCATTCCTTTCTTTCTTTAAGAAGCCATTACAGATGTTGAATTCACCGAAGACTGGTGTAGTAATTTCTGCATATATATATATATATATATATATATATATATATATATATATATATATATATATATGTTGACCTGGTCTCACTCTTTTATTTCATCTGAAGGTTCTGGAGGCACTTTACATCGGGTCCCGCAAGCCTTCTTTGTGCAAACAACGTGAGTGTTTGTTGGGACTCGCTGTCATTTGTCTCTAGTTCCTTCTGCATATATATAAATATATATATATATTTCCCCCCCCAATTCCTTTTATTATACATTTTTCTGTATTAATTTTGAATCTACCGTTGAAGCCTGAAGAGCGGGAGCGAAACCGGTTGCTCCCCCCTTGTTGTTTTTTTTATTTTTTTTTAATTTTTTAATGTCTTGTAATATTAAATTTTATACTTTTATTCGATCATTAAATTTTGTACCTACAAAAATATCTTTAAATATATATATATATATATATATATATATATAACGAAGTTTTTTTAAAAAAAAAAACTAAACAAAAAATAAAACAAACAATAAACAGTCAAAAGCATTTCTGGAAGATTAACAACTTTCAGGCAGTGTATGTAATTAAAGGGCTTAATATAAACAGATAGAGCATTAACTGTAACAAATATAATGACATGTTCACTGAACTATTTACGCAGTGATTATATCCACTCTTCAGTGCGTGGATTTCAAGTCTCCTGAGCAGGGGATGTCATTTCTGCGAAACTCAGTAGTGACAGATAGGCGAACAGTTAATTTTATTTGTTATTCTATTTATCTAACTCACAAAGTGTTAGAGGAATAAATGTATAATTATTTTTTTTATTGCAGTTGTTTATTAATTTTAATTGAGAAAAACAATCTTTGACTAGATTTGAGATTTTTAGAAATCTATAACCTGATGCGTTCACTGTAGGCTGAATAGTGATAAGAATGTATTCAGTATTCTTATTTGGGCCTCAGATTTACATCGTAAACAAGCGAAATTCTCAAGACAGAATTAGAAGGAAATATATATAAAAAAAGGTCAGAACAGGAAAAAAAGAGGAGAAATGATGAAAAAAATGACGAATTCTACTGCAGCAAGGTCAGTATTTGGTAAACAGGTGGGGCTTGAATGTTTTCTCCAATGGAACCCAAGTGACTGGAATAGAATAAAAATAAGTTCGGGGATCAAAATGCGTAATGATTAAAAGCAGGTGCCTTTGAGAAGAAACGAAAGAAGACCAAGAACTGAAACGTACATAATTTTTCGTGTTTAGAGAAGGGGAATTACTTGGAACAGAATCGAATTAAGGCATAGAGTAAGAAATAAAAAATAACACTAGATTGAATTGCGTTGCAGGCAGACATACAATATATTTGAGTGCTATCTATCTATCTATCTATCTATCTATCTAAATCAATTTTTTTCATCTATATCATCTTCTAAATCTGGCTTTTCACATCTATTTATCTATCTATCTACCCAAATCACCTATTTTTTTTTATCTATCTATCTATTTCTATCTATCTATCTATCTAAATCTGGCTTTTCATATCTATTTATCTATCTATCTATCTATCAATTTTTCTAAATCTATCTTCATATCTATCTAAATCTCTATCTATCTATTTATCTATCTATCTATCTATCTATCTAAATCATTTTTTATATCTATCTATCTATCTATCTATCTATCTATCTAAATCTGGCTTTTCATCTATTTATCTATCTATCTATCTATCTATCTAAATCTTTTTTACATCTATCTATCTATCTAAATCAATTTTTTATCTATCTATCTCTATCTATCTAAATCTTTTTTCTATCTATCTATCTATCTATCTAAATCTGGCTTTTCATATCTATTTATCTACCTATCTATCCATCTATCTATCTATCTATCTAAATCATTTTTTTCTATCTATCTATCTATCTATCTAAATCTGGCTTTTCATATCTATCTATCTATCTATCATTTTTTTATATCATCTATCTATCTATCTAAATCCAAATTTTTTTTATATCTATCTATCTATCTATCTATCTAAATCATTTTTTTTATATCTATCTATCTATCTATCTAAATCATTTTTTTTTATCTATCTATCTATCTATCTATCTATCTAAATCATTTTTTTAATCTATCTTTATCTATCTATCTATTTTTTTTTATCTATCTATCTATCTATCTATCATTTTTTATATCTATATCTATCTATCTAAATCATTTTTTTATATCTATCTATCTATCTATCTATCTAAATCTATCTATCTATCATCTATCTATCTAAATCTTTTTTTTATATATCTATCTATCTATCTATCTATCTATCTATCTATCTATCTATCTATCTCATTAGGAAGTAAGATTTGGGAAGAGAGGGGTTGAGAATAAGATAGAGCGCTGTCTAATAGTTACTCATACTGTCTTCCTGATTACTCTTCTATTGTTTTCGCTCCTTTGTAATGTTTCTCTTTTTCTTGTTGTTCTGCAACCAGTAAGCCCTTGAGTCTTAATGGCTTTTACTGCCTTGCTTGCGTGATTTGGGTTAAAAGTGGTATAGCCAGCAATATACTATATGCATTTCAATTTCAATCATTTAATGTACACACACACACACACACACACACACACACACATATATATATATATGTAAGAGAAACAACTATGTTGGCGTAACCTACAGACAACTTGCGAGGAGACCTAACACCTTAGACAAGAAAGGGGCTGTTCTTAAATGTTGACGTCGTGAAGTATATATATATATATATATATATATATATATATATATATATATATATATATGTCTGTGTGTGCCTGTGTGAAAATATATAGAAAATAGGAAAGAATTCGTTAGATAAATAATCCAAAGTTCTTTAGTATTTTTGTTATTCTTTTTAAAAAACAGTGCTCGATGCAAAAGTAGAGCCTAAATATAATTATTTATTTAAAAGTATGATTCCATCGTATTCCAAGTATATAGAAAATAGGAAAGTTTTGAAACATGAGAACTCTTATGTAGCGATGGAATCATATTTTTAAATAAATAATTATATATATATATATATATATAGTACGTTCGTATCACTATTATTAATGCTGTTAGTATTTATGCTATTATTATTAATATTAATATTATTGGCGATGAGGTTGGCGGGGTCGGCGCTGCAACAGGTTCGATGTACCATGTATCTTCAAGGCATTGGCGGCCATGGCGTTTGTTATCTCTACGAAGTCCTGTTCTGCCATCCATTTACTCAGGCTCGCTAGGTAGGTTATACGTTGTATAGCTCTGCCACTTTTGTCTTCTTTCTCTCCTGTGAGTATCGAATTTTCCAAACCCTCTTTTCTCATTACGTGCTCGAGAAATTTCAACTGTATTTTTATGTAAAGTGTGTGCCTTTCTTAATTCCTTTTTCTTTAAAACTAAGTCTTTGCTCACATGTTCCAGTCATGACATTCTCAGCATCCTTCTGTAGAACCACATTTTAGTTGCTTCATGACTGTTCTTCATACGTGAGGAAATTTTCCAGCATTCACTGTTATAAAGAAGGACTAATATTACGTAAGGGTTCAGTAGTTTTTTGTTTGCAACGTAATTTTCCTGTTTCTCAATACTTTGCTTAACTTTTGGAAGACATCTTTGGCTATCTTAATGCGCTATCTGTGTCGCAACCTCGTTCTTTTGTTAAAACATTTCCTATTTATTTAAAGTTTTGTACTTGTTTGATTTTGGCATGACGATTTGTAATTCGTATGTTGGTCATTTGTTTTTGCTAATAAACACGCATCCTGTCTTCTAGCAGTTGATATTTAGTCCTTTCTTCTTGCTTTCCTTCATTACATTCTGCTATCAACATTGTCTCATTTGCATATCTTAGGTTAAGATTTTGGCTACGAGCAATGAATCATGGTAGGACTTATAATTCTCCCAGAATCGCCTCACTGTATAAGTTGAATACGGTAAGCGCGACACTAAGACCCGAAGACGTATTGGGTTAGCCAAAGACGCATTCCAAAAGCTAGGCAGAGTATTACGTAACAAAGAAAGAGCACTGAGCTGCTAAGTGTCATATGTCCTCCTTTATGGCAGATGAAGAAGCGACTCGGAGATATGGTTCTACAGAAGGATGCTTAAGATAACATGGACCGAGTGTGTGAGCAACGACGAGGTTTTGGAGAAGATTTAGTCAAGGAGGAAGCTTATATCAGGTCATCCCATAAGTTCTGTCCGAATTTTAACTTTTTGTTAAAATGAACGAAATTTAAAGAGTATTTTATAATGTCTAATGGAGCTGAACATTATTTTTATGTTTAGATGCATTTAAACTAATCAAATTTTATTTCAGAGAACAATAAAATTAAATTTTGTTTGATTAAAACCCTGCTAACATGGAAGTACCCAAGAATCATTTGAGGCACATAATGCTTTATGAGTTCAAGAAAGGAAATTCAGCAGCCGAAGCGGCTAGAAACATTCACTCAGTTTATGGAGAGGAATGTGTGAATGAAAGAACTTGCAGAAGATGGTTTGCAAAATTCAGAGGTGGAAATTTCACCCTTGAAGATGAAGATCGAACCGGACGTCCAGTTGAGTTTGATGAAAAGCTTCTTGAAGCTGCCCTTGAAGAAAATCCTGTTTTATCAGTTGAGGAATTGGCAGTAGTTCTCAGTTCAAACCATAAAACTGTTCATCTTCATCTTCAAAAACTTGGAAAAGTTCCTAAACTTGGAAAATGGGTGCCTCATGAATTGTCTGAAAACAACCTCAAATCCTGAGTTGACATCTGCTCTTCTCTCATTCTCGCCAACTTGTTTCACCTTTTTGGATAGACTTGTGACTGGCGACGAAAAATGAATCTTTTATCGAAATGTTAAGCGTCGTAGACAGTGGCTTGGTAAAGAGGAAGGACCCCAGCCACAACCGAGAAGGGAACTTCATGGGCAAAAGGTTCTTCTTTCAATCTGGTGGGATCGCCAAGGAATAATTCACTTTGAATTCTTATCACCTAATGCAACAATTAATTAATGCTCATATATATTGTCAGCAATTAGAGCGTTTGAACCAAGCTTCGAGGAAAAAAAGACCTGCTCTAGTGAATCGAAAAGGGGTGATGTTTCATCAGGACAATGCGCGACCCCACACAGCAAGAATCACGTCACAAAAGATTGAAGAACTTGGTTGGGAGAAAATTCCTCATCCACCTTATTCTCCCGATCTTGCTCCTTCATACTACCATTTGTTTCGTAGCTTACAGAATCATTTCGAAGAAACAGCTTTTGTAACGCAGGAAGAGGTTAAAACTGACATTTGTGAGTTCTTCGAATTAAAGCCAAAAGAATTTTACAGTAATGGAATTAGTAAGCTTGTTAATAGATGGAAGGAAATCATAGATAATCAGGGAAAATACATTGTTGATTGAATCTATAATTAAATGTAACATTTGGTCCCTTGCTTTCTTTATTCAAAATTCGGATAGAACTTATGGGATGATCTGATACTTAAAATCAGGAATAGGCAGCTGGAATTTCTGGGACACGTAATGAGAAAGGAGGGCTTAGAGAATCTGATACTCATAGTTAGAATAGAGGGAACGAGGAATAAAGGAAAGCAACGCGTGGCATTCCTATCAGGCTTAAGTAAGTAAGTAACAAAGGGTCAAAAGCTACAAGAGATAGGGAGAAGTGGAGAGCCATGATCGTCTACATCCTCAAGGGACACGGCATATAAAAAAGAAAAATTGCGGTGAAAAGACACGTCTTTTTCTTATATACCTTTATATTTTTATATATTTACTGAATTCCATTTCTATCCGTATGCAGGCGGTTTGCTGCCAGTGTAGATTCTGGATTATTCTAAGATTCTTCCGAAATATGTCAAGGTTGCCTTGCAGTTTTTTGACGTACTTTATCAAACACTTTTGCATAATCTATAAAACATCAAAAGATCTCAGATCATTAATTTTCTGATAGTTTTCCATCAATTCGTGAAGCACATGGTTCAGTTCATTTCCATTTTCCCAATATTAATGCTTATGTTTAAAATGACTGTCTTCATTGAAAGAAAAATCGACAGAGTTTAACCGACAAACGCATACAGTGTGTGTGTGTGGGGAGGAGAGACAGTGAGAAGCAGGCACACCGACAGAAAGAGTGTGGGAGGCGTATATACGTATATACATTTATGCACAATATTCTTAGTCTCTTCATATAAAATTTACCTTGATTTTTAAAATCGTTAATTGGTATAATTATGCAATCAGTTGTCCATCTTTTCAGCGTAATTGAAGAAGCTCGTCGACTAAAATGTTTTTGAGCTGACCCTCTTCCTAAAATGTCAAATCAAAAATATTTTAGGAAGGGCTTTGTAGTAGTGTCGAAAGTTTGTCTATATTTCTGAGATGAGGTATTATGTACAGCATTTACATTAGTCGGACTATTGTCCTCATCTTTGTCGCCATATTTGTGACAACGTTTCGGCCGTTGTACGCTCCGGCCTTCTTCAGGTGGTTGGAATTTCGAACTGAACCCTTTATTTTGATCACTGGGGTAGACTGTTTCTAGTTCCACGTGTCATGTTTGATGGATGT